GCTTGGGAGTGGTGTCCCATTGGAGGGAGAAAGGGGCCACAGATGTTTCCTTTATTGACTGGGAAGCCCACATGTGACTCTTGGTGTGTGATCAGAAACATTAACCAGCTGGAATTTAGGCACTGGATTTGGCCCTTGGTTCTGAGATGTATCCACGTGTTGGGCTGCCCAGATATATCAAACACCAGGGTGGGATTAGGTCAGATTGCTCTCACTACATTGCAATGGTGGGCCCATCCTTGGTTAGCCTCACTAAAAGAAATTTATCTACTGGGTCTGTACAATAGTGCAGCAACTACACTGTCCATTGTGCTCCTGAGGCATGCTGTACCAAGAGGGCAGCATCTGCACCCAGAAGTGACGTCCCAGATCCAGGAAACATTTGGCAAAGCATAGATGGACCTCTTTGCTGAAGCCAAGTGAACACACTGTCAGTTGGGGTTCTCGTTCATTGCAAGGAAGAAACCACTACCATGTTGCACAAAATTAGATAGATAGATAGATAGATAGATAGATAGATAGATAGATAGATAGATAGATAGATAGATAGATAGATAGATAGATAGATAGATAGATAGATAGATACTTTATTGATCCCCGAGGGGAAATTCAGGATCCTAGTAGCTCAAAGACATCACACACAATACAGCATACAACGAAATAAAATAAAAAAACAAGTAAAATGCTAAAGAAGACTCAAGAAGAACAGTAAAATATACCGAATCCACAGACTGGGAATTAAGTGGGTTATACAAGCGGGCTAATATAGTCCTTAGACAGTATGAATAGCAAAACAATCACACAGTGATTCAGTACACACATTGTTGTTGTAAGAGGTTATGGAAGTGTATGTGAATGTATGAAGGGGTGAAAAGGCAGATAGACTATGCAGAGAAGTCCATCTCACCTCTTCCTTTCAGTGAAGCATTGTAGAGCTGTATAGCCCTAGGGACAAAAGACTTCCTCAGCCTGTCAGTTGTACATGGCAGTGAACGTAGCCTCCCACTGATCGAGCTCTTTTGATTTGAGATAGTGTTATGGAGTGAATGACAGTCATTGTCCAAAATATTCGTCAGTTTGTTCAGGGTCCTTTTGTCTGACACTGAAGTGATACACTCCAGTTCCACTCCCACAACCGAGCCAGCTTTCCTTACCAGTCTGTTCAGTTGTCCAGCATCCTTCTTCTTAGTGCTTCCTCCCCAGCATACCACAGCATAGAAGAGGACACTGGCAACAACAGACTGGTAGAACGTCCAAAGGAGCTTGCTGCAGACATTGAAGGACCGCAGTCTCCTCAGGAAGTACAGCCTGCTCTGCCCTTTCTTGTACAGTGCCTCAGTGTTGACTGACCAGTCCAGTTTATTGTCCAAATGTATTCCCAGATACTTGTAAGTGTTAACCATCTCTACATTAACCCCCTCAATGGTGACTGGCAGCAGAGTGGGTTTACACTTCCGGAAATCTACCACCATCTCCTTGGTCTTAGCAATGTTGAGTTGTAGGTGGTTGAGTTTGCACCATTGCACAAAGTCCTCCACCAGGCTCCTGTACTCCTCCTCCTGCCCATCCCTGATATACCCCACAATTGCTGTAATTCAGCAACTATGCCACACAGAGTCCTCCTCATTGCTTTGATATGGCTGGCAAGACTTTGGTATTCCACTGATGCTTTTGCTAGTGGTTGGAACATCCTGGTATCTTCCTCCCCAATTAGGCCTGCTGTCCCAAATGAATTTCGCACCTCCAGCCCTATTTTTCTCTGTATGAATTGCCAACTGAGGACTGTGACTTAGCAGTCCACAAAACACCCCTGAATGAAAGAAACCTGATTACACAGTATGTATGTCCTTAGGTAGAATTTGTTCTAATGATGTGCATATCATTGACATGCCCTGGTACATTACCCAGTTTCCCAAAGTACTAACTTATCATCATTGGAAAGCCCCTTTCTACATTTACACAAAAAATGAGTATGTGGTGGTCAGCACATCACAGCACCATAGATGGCATCTTTCTGTGAGTTCATAAAATTATTATATCTGTTCAGGGAGAGGTGCCCTCTCTTACCGTGATGCCCCAAGATCCTGGTGTAGGACCTCCCTCTTGTGTTGGAGTCCTTTAAGACCCTTCTTTACAAGCTCATGTAAACTGAAAATGGAAATGGGTGTCTCTGAAAAAAAGTGCGAGAGCTATATTCTCTATAAGCTTGTCCTGCAAACACTGATGGCCAAATGACTCTGGGGTGAACATGTGGGTGTACCCATGTGGGTGAACATGTGGGTGTACCCTGTCCAAAGTCATATCACCCAAGGTAAAAATGCACAATGTGTCCAGTATATGACTTTTAGTACTATTTACACCAGGCAATGGCCATTTGTTTCTCAAACCAGCTGCTCATCTGTAATGCAGGAAAGCCATGAAAGAATTGTAATGGATTGTAGAGGAATACGTCAGGACTGGACAGTTTTACTTTCATGCACGCAAGCAAGAGTGTATAATCAGATATGAAGCTCATGGGAAAAAAGAAAGGCAGGTTAATTAAAATAGAAGCACATTGGACCCCATGGGTTGATCATGCAACAATGCACAAAGCATTTACTGCATTCATACTTCTTTAGTAAATGCTTTATTCTGCTCAGGGTGGCACTCGTTAAATTACTTTCTAATATTTTGGGAAAGAGTACCAACTAAGTTTATTGTAAAATATTCTGTGCAGCATTGGTGAAACTTTCTATTCTATCACTATAATTAAAACAGACACCAACACCAGCAAGAAGCTTTGAATCCACCCACAACTGTTACAACAAAACTCTGAACTAGGCTTGTGAGATTGTGCGCAATATGTCACATCCTATCATGTCCCCTATTGCAGATTGACAATAGCCTGTGGCATTGAAGGCTGTAGGCTGCTGAGGGAGGAAAGGAGGGGGCCATGAACAGACATAGTACATAAGACGTGTCGTGTATATGTTACATCAATTCAGTGAAAAAACTGGAAGCTGGTTACAAGTGGGCTGTAGAGTATGTACAGTATGTGCTGGCATTAACCTTCAGTCAGTTTTTAAAAAAAATTGATTATTCAGTAATAGGGGTAGCATTGCTTGCAAAACTGGCAGACTAGATATACTCCAGGTTTTTGTGGTCCATGTAAATTGTGAATGGGTGGAGACCTCCCTCCAGTGACACCATTTCTCCAAGGCGGGTTTCACTGCAAGGAGCTTCTTGTTGCCAATGCTGTAGTTCCTCTAGGCAGGAGATAACATCCTGGAAAAGAATGCCGCCGGTGGAGTTTGGGCTTTTCTCCTTGCCATTGGGAGATAATGGCCCTTACCCCAGCCTCTGAGGCATCAACTTCTACTACAAAGGGCTTGGTATGGTTAGGATGACTTAGGATGGGCGTGATGGTAAAAGCTTTCTTAAGTTGCTCAAAAGCTTGGCCGGCTGAGATGTCCCATTGCAGCCTCTTGATCCACTTCTTTGACAGGGCAGTCAAGGGAGCTGCAATGCTGCTGAAGCCCCTTATGAAGCACCAGTTGATGTTGAAGAATTATAAGAACCGTTGTAGTTCCTTGACTGTGGCGGGTACAGGCCAGTTGGTTACTGCTGAGACCTAAGCACCCCCTGAGCTGGTGTTTGAGTAGCTGTGACAGGACCCTCTTGACATGCTGGTTGTGGGTGGCTTTGTCAGGGGAGTAGATAAGAATATGGTCAATGTAGGCATTAACATATTTCCCCAACATTTGCTGCAGCATGTTGTTAATGAGACACTGAAACACTGCGAGTGCCAAAGATAACCCATATAGAATTACGCAGTACTCAAAGTGACCAGAGGTGGTGCTAAACACTGTCATCCACTCGTCTCCCTCCCAAGATTATTGGCACTTCACATATCGAGTTTTGTGAAAATTCCTACCTCCCGAAGCTACTATAGGGCTACTGGAACTAGTGGCAGAAGATAACAAGACATTTACATTACATTATTCACTTGGCAGATGCTTTTATCCAAAGCGACTTACGAATAAGCAAAGCGATATATCAAGCAGGGAACAATACAAGATCGGAAGTGCATTCCACCACTGGGGAACAGTAAGCGTGAAGGTTCTGGAAAGGGACCTTATGCCACGCTGAGTTGGAACTACTAAACGTCGGTCGCTAGTCGATCGCAGATTGCGAGAGGGAATGTATGCCTTCAGGAGAGAGTTGAGGTAGGAGGGTGCTGTTCCTGACAAGGTCTTGTAGGTGAGCATCAAGGCCTTGAACTTGATGCGGGCAGCTACAGGAAGCCGGTGGAGGGAGATGAAGAGGGGTGTGACATGAGTAGTCTTGGGCTGGTTAAAGACAAGGCGCGCTGCAGCTTTCTGAATCATCTGAAGGGATTTGATGGAGCTGGCTGGGAGGCCTGAAAGCAGTGAGTTGCAGTAGTCCAGTTTAGAGATGGAAACATGGAAGACATGGAAGTAAAGGCCTATAAGCTACTTGCACGCAGGGTTATGACGCATATTCATTTAGAAATTTGTTAGGTTCCGTTAGCACTGTTTACATTTGTCAGTACTGTTTGTCTTTCACAGCAAAATGAATGTCTGCCATAAGGAATTTAGGAAATAATATTTTCAGAGACAAATGTCTCTCAAATCATGAGCATTGCTATTTCTGCACAACATCTTCAAAATTTAAAAACTTTAAGCATCCACATGTTTCCAGCTGAGAGTGATCTCAGGAGACAATGGTTAGCAAACATACATAGTGCCCCTTCCATCCATCCATCTTCCATATGACTTATCCTACACATTATCAAGGGGAGTCTGGAACCTATCCCAGAGGACTTGGGGCACAAAGCAGTGGGCACCCTGGATGGGGTACCAACCCATCACAGGGCACAGTCACACAAACTTATACCAATCAGCCTACAATGCATGTCTTTGGATTGGGGAGGAATCCAGAGTACCCAGAGGAAACCCCCTTAAGTACAGGGAGAACTTGCAAAATCCATGCACACAGGGTGGAAGTGGGAATTGAACCCCCAACCCATGAAGTGCAAAGGAACTGTGCTAACCACTACGCCATTATGCTGGCTCCATTATGACTATTTTACCAGTTCTACCCCCATATAGTTCTGTAGTAGACATTTCACACCACTACGTGAACCAAAACCAAATGAGGGTCGGAGAAGACTGGCAAAAAGCACATTGCCATTGCTCTTTCAATGAAATGGCAAGAATATTCAAATACCATGGCCCAGTGTGTGGGAGAGAAAGACTGGATAATAAAAAAACATCTAAGAAGAAACATTGTATCCATTTATTATTGTTATTATTGTTATTATTCAAGACCTTCTTCTTCTTGCCATTTACTGGCAGGATTCTGGTAAACTCAGATCTCAACAAGAGATCAAAATGATTTACCCTAGCACGTTTCGAAGGCTGCGTGCAGTGCATATAAGTGCAGTCTTCTGCACTTCATTGGCTGATGGGTGACTTGGGAACATCTTGAGTTTTTGAGCTTTCTATATTGTACCTAATGCTCCTACTATATCTGGCACTGTTCTAGCTTTACAATTCCACATCCTACTGATCTCGATTTCCGGGTCCTTGTATTTACTGATCTTTTCAGTATCTTTAAGCATGATGTTCAAATCATCTGGGATGGCTATATTGAACAGTAGACAGGTTTTATCTTTATTGAGGCAAGATGGCCCTATCCATAACTATTGGAACATCCCACATGATGGTTATGTCTTTGATGTTCACAACCTTTTCTGGTTGATGTTCATGATACTTATCTGGCACTTGTACACCTACATGCTTGAACATGGTTCAGTGAACATGGTCCAATGGCTACCTTATTGTGTCTGTGGGTGTATTCAGTACAATATGACTTATGTGTTCTACTTTGTTGCATACTCTATATTTACTATCTACTGGCCTGGCTGTTTTAAGATGTTCTTTTGGTGATATCTGGTGTTCAGTGCTTGGTCCTGTGCTGCCATGATTAAGCTTTCTGTCTCTCCTTTAAGACTGTTACTGTGGTCCACTGTATTGAAGAATTCTAGTCGAAAAAATGGTCTTTCCAAGTCTCGAAAGAACTGTCCATGCAATGGTTTACTTTTCAGAAGTTCTATTAGATTCAAGTTCAGTTAGTTCACGTCCACCATTTCGTCTCTTGATATAAAGATTCAAGTTCAGTTAGTTCACGTCCACCATTTCGTCTCTTGATATAAAGTCTTTCGATGTCAGCTTTTGGATGATGGATGCCTCCAATGGTCAGGAGCTTTCTGGTTTTCATATCCATCCACTCGATATCAGTTCTCAACCAGTCCACAATGCCAAAACTATATGCGACTACTGGAAAAGCTAGAGTGTTGATAGCTGTGACTTTGTTTTTAGCACTTAAATCAGTATTGAGGGTCTGACAGATTAAACTATAGTACTCTTTCACAATCTTATCTTTCATAAGGGTGTTGGCATGACCATCACTTTCCTCTACACCCAAGTACTTATGTTTAATTAATTTCCATTTTTCTTAAAACTGTCTGGTCATTCAGTTGGATATTTTGAATTTTGACTAGCTTACCATGCTACAAGTGGAACATTCGTCTAGGCCAAACTCCATTCTAATGTCGTCACTGAATGCCTTGACAATAGTAAGACCTTGTTTTAGTTGGGTCTCATCCTTGCTGAACAGTTTGAGATTGTCCATGTAAAAAAGGTGGCTGACTATGTTGTTATTGTCGACTTCAAATCCAATTATTATTATTATTATTATTATTATTATTATTATTATTATTATTATTATTACAAAAATGTCATTACATAGCAGACATGCATTAGCAATATTACCTTTACAGTTTTCATGTAGTAAAAAACAAAACACATGATAAATTGTCAAAGAAAATCACGTAATAATTTAATGTATGTGTCTAGAAACTAATATATCATGGTTAATATGCATTTTCAATTGAAAAGACCTTGTTAACAACAGCAAAAGCTAATTTGCAGTGAACTGAGGTGGCTAACCTTATCTTAGCTGTTCGCTTCTGTTAATAGGTATTTTCTTATCTTCATAGTAGTGTATTTATGATGTAGCACACCGTTTGAAGCCTTTCTCCAGCTTGCTAGAAAAGGCTTTGCAAGTGCTCTTACATATCCAATGAAGTGCCATTCATCTTCAGGAGTCTTGCAGAACCTGACAGAAAAATCCACAATTATGAGTGTAGTGAATGAACCGGACACACAAGAACCACAGTAAATATAAGGTATAATGTTTGTGCAAGTAGAACATCATCAAAAGTCCCCATATCATATGTTTTAGAGAGAATTCTTTTATTTAGAAATTAATGATTTAATGTCAATTATAATGTCAACATCTTAATATGTAGCAATTTTTATTTAGTCAACTGGGTTCATACAATATAAGAATATGGTAATGGTGAATTTGGAGATTTTTTCGAGTCTTCTTACTGAAATTTGGTTTACAGTTAATGTGTTATTGAGGATGAAAGTAAAAGTGAAAATGTGGTTCATGTTATGAAACCAGCTGTCCCAAAAGGCTAAGCATGTCATTAAAATGGTTTTCCGACTATGCCTCTTTATAATATGAATTAAAAAAATAAAAATCTTTCACTTAGTAGATACTGAGGACTCAGTGATGCGTGTTGGGGTATTTGCTTTAGTAATGGCATGAAAGCTTAGACAAGATGGAAATTCAAAAAGTATTCCAATATACACTATATGGCCAAAGGTTTGAGGACACCTGACATATGGACATATGTTTGAGGACATATGTGTTCATATGTGAACTTTACCACAAACTTTTGTCACAATGTTGCGAGCACATAATTGTGTAAGATGTCGTTATATTCTGTAGCATTACAGTTTCCCATCACTGGAACTAAAGGGCCCAAACGTGTTCTAGGGTGACAACACCCCTGTCCACTAAACGAAATCCATAAAATCATGGTTTACTGAAGTTGGTGTGGAAGAACTTGAGTGGTCTGCACAGAGCCATAACCTCAACCCCACAGAACGCCTTTGGGATTAACTGGAACACAGACTGCATGCCCGGCCACCTCACCGAACATCAGTGCCTGACTACACTAATGTGGCTATACTTTACTAACTACACTTGTGGCTGAATGGGCAAGTATCAGGCACGCTCCAAAATCTACTGGAAAGCCTTCCCAGAACAGTGGCGCTCATTAAAACAGCAACAGGGAACTAAATCTTGTATGGGATGTTCAGAAAGCACATATGGATGTGATGGTCAGGTGTCCACAAACCTTTGGCCATAGTGTATCTGAATGTACACTCTAAGAGTTTATTTCCACAATACTTCACAATGGAACTGCCTACGAGGACGTGGCCTACCTTCCTTGGCAACCTTCCTTTTCTTTTTCTTTAAAAAAAAAAATATATATATATATACAACCTTAATTTCAGTACTCCAGATATGACGCCATCCTCCAGGAGGAGGGGTATCGATACCGGAAGTAAATGTTAAATCCCAGATTACCTCTGCAAGAGGACGTCGCTCTTATCTGGATCAATTTTCAGTCATGCAATGGGGAAATATGTGCCTGAAATTATTTTTTTATTTGTCATTTTTAGGAACTGTGGTTTATTCCAAAGTGGGTCCGAAAGTAACGGATAAGGTGAGTAGCGTCCTCTGGTTGACATTTTCCGAAATGCCGGCGTTAACTACATTCTAGTCAAGAATAAAATAATATTGAAAAGAAAAAGAAAACAAAAAACACCCCGGAAGTGTGTTGGTGAAACATTAACGTAACATTAGCGTATTTTGTTAATGTGTTTCTAGCTTAAGGTGTTGTGCATACAAAATAAATAAATAAATAAATAAATAAATAAATAAATCCTGGACCGCATTTTAGCTTGAAATGCACAACTACGGCATGGCGTGTACTTTAGCAGCTAAAATCGACGAGGAACGCAGTATAATAGCAGATGAAAGCTTGACTCATTACTGGAGCGTGAACGTGTGGAGACTCTGATTGCTCTATTTGTTGCGGCGGAAGGTAGCGGTGACACGTCTACATCTAAAATCACGTCCTACACGTCAAAGGCGCAATACTTCTCATATTTAATAGGGATATGCGCTTGTTCTTATAACGTCTGAAAGAAATCGTTCTAGTCAGCCTTATGAATGACGAGGCTTTCATAACCTAAATAGACAAGAGCTAGGTAAGATAATGCTTCGTAAATCTTCATGAATCCTTCATAACTTTGTGACTGGGGGACAGCTTGATGTTTTTGATCCATGTCCCCCTTCTTCTGCTGTGTTTCCGGTTGCAGGTATTTTTTGACATCACTGTAGGAGGACATGAGGTTGGCAGGATTGTGATCGGGCTTTTCGGAGAGGTTGTGCCTCTGACTGTGAAGAACTTTGTTACTCTCGCTTCTGGAGAGGTAGGTTATGTATTTATTTATGTATTTATTTATTTATTTAAAAGACTGTCAAAATATCTGAGACTTTCGTTCATGCGGTCTTCGTTAGAATGCCATGAAGTGTCCAACTTTCATATTTGCGGTGTAATTCATGAAACTACGATGTATCTATCATTGTAGTACTTTAGAAAAGAAATTCTGTCCAAATGACAGTAGTTTGTGGTATGCAAGCTTTCGTTAACGTGCCCATCGTTCACGTTCGCTTTATAGAAAGGATATGGTTACAAAGGAAGCAAGTTCCATCGTGTCATCAAGGACTTTATGATTCAAGGAGGGGACTTCACATCTGGAGACGGAACAGGAGGTGAAGTTTTACTCTAATTCTAGCACCACTCCTAGGTAGTTAAATACAAAGCCCCAAATGAATTATGAATGTTTTGTGTGCACTGTACTTTAAATCTTTTATAAGTGTTGTCTGCATTTCAGGTAAAAGCATCTATGGAAAGACATTTGCAGATGAGAACTTTAAGCTAAAGCACCAGGGCACAGGCTGGGTCAGCATGGCTAACGCAGGCCCAGACACCAATGGCTCACAGTTCTTCATCACGTTAGCACGGGCTCCCTGGCTGGATGGCAAGCATGTTGTCTTTGGCAAGGTCTTGGAAGGCATG